ACACAGACTGGAATTATTAGCTTGCAAATTGTTCAGGGCACTAGAATCTATAATATCTATTCTGGCAAAAATTGGCCTGGGAAGATTGACTAGAAGAAGTTGGCACTACTTCTTGTACTTTGGTTCAATACAGATTGACTCAAGGACAGGCATACCATCTACATGTTTTGTTAGTCTTTAAAGTTGTTGTTTTTTAAGTTTATTCTGTACAGACTAACTTGGCTACCCCTTGAAGCTAATGAATCACCAGCAAATGAATATTTTTTGAGGTCTCCCATACTAGTATTAACTAGGCCCAAGACCACTGGTGTTACAAGACCCGACAAGAGTATAATGAAGGATAACACTTCCTGTATCCACTTAATCACATATATGCAAATGCTATGTTGAAAAATGTTTACTTATAATGCAGGAAAAATCCGGTCAGATGTGATACAGAGACATAATGTCATTGCTTTAAGATTGTTACATCATCATGTATCACAATCATGAAAAACTACAAGAGGCAGCATTTCAAATAGAGCAACACAGCACAACAGAGACTCTTCAGGAAGGCCATAGAACATGTCAAAAATAGAAACTAACAACATTTACACACACTAATGTATGGTATACTGAGTCTCTGCACCATGTAAAAAACCACAGATTCTCCAATAAAATAGTTAAGATATTCCCAAAGTCATGATTAACATCTAACACAGTTGACAAGGTGGGAATGAGTATCAAAGATTCTTCCATAGCTTCAACTAAGAGGAAATAAGTCATTATCATTTTAAGCAGGAAAAACAATTTTATAGCTAATCATATACTGATATTTTTCTTTTAAATGAACCAAAAGGCATTGTGACATCAGCTTTTTGGCCAGAAGCAGAAAGCTAGACATTGGATTGATGCTCAGGCAAAAGTGAACAGTTTTTTCAATAAAGCCACAATTAATGTCTTAGAAACAGCACCAAATTACTGGATGTCAAAATGGCATCGAATGTACTGGATTCAATACACTCTTCTGCAAGACATACAGGAAAGTGACCGAAAGAACTGATAACTAAAGTGCATCTGCTGTAAGTATATTGACAAATCACAACCTCCTCTCCATGCTCAATGTAGATGCAATTCAGATAGCGACTGCTCTTTTTAACAGATGAAACAAAAAGCAAGTGATAACCAACTGAGATAAATGCTCTCTGGAAAGTAATTAAGTGATTCACAATTAGCCGTTGCAGGTATGTCAGCATGAACAGATGGAAATTTTAGCTTTAATATACTGTCAATAGTAAAAACAAAAGCCACTGTTTTAATTTTCCGCTGTAAAAGAGATCCGTAAACTAAGGCACCCTTGCAAGTTGTCAGGCCTTTTGTATTAGACACACATGACACGCGCAAAATATAATAAATATTCCAACCATTCTCCCTTATTTCAGATCTGCTATTAACTCTGAATAACAGGCACTGGATCAAACTCTCAATGGTTCCAAATGTTTGTCCCTCCTGCAGTGACATCTGCCCCCTGTGCTTCTACCTCTGATATACTTCACAGCTACATGCCACGGCATAAAACAATGCTGTGATTACTGACTTCATCCCAAAGCGAAGTGGCAATGTTGTTGAGAAAGGCTATTTTTACAGCATTCCTGGCTCAACCAAAATGAGAAAATACTGGAAATCTCTCAAGACATCATTGCCTTCTGAAACTTCCAATCTGATATTCTGAGCAAAAAAGTTTACGCAGGCCCCCAAGTCTTCCAGGTGCTTATCCAGAATTAACCTCCATGTCTTTAAAGAATCACAAAAGCACTAGAATTTCCTTACCCATATTTCTGAATGAAAAAGCACAACCAAAGCAGAGAATATAAAAAGTTCACTTGTGGATTTAAATAGTTCCAACTATAATTGATTGATTTAACATGATTTATAAGCAATTTCTCAAAAGATAAAATAAGGGAATAGTGTTTTACAATACTGGATTCAGTGACTCATATAAGCAAAAGGTGAAAATGAGAATGAGAAATGGACCAGGCCAATAAAAGCCAAAACTGTAATTTACAGCTTGACCAATATTATTTAGTTAGTTAGTGTTTCTTAACCAAACTAAATAAATAAAAAATCTCACTTATTGCAATGGTGTGGACAATTAGTGTGCAAATGCCTCTGATGGCACTGGTATTTTTACCAGTGTGCCACAGGAACCCACTGTGAGCTGGATTATATGACACGACAAACAGTAATAAGATCTGGCAGTCATTGCCATTTTGTGACATTAGTGACCCCCATCAAGCTGCTGCTGGTGGAGCAGTTCTGGTATCAGCCATGGTGGGAAACTTCAGAAAGAAGCATTGAATTGTCACAGTAAAGTTTAAGGGGGGCAAACAAGAATGCAAGAGAATAAGCTGAGCAGGGTTTAGACAATACATAGGCTAGGTTTCAAGAGAGACAAGAAGAGATCTGGCAATTTGGAAGTTTGTTAAAATTCCATCTCTTCTGCATTTACTGGATGCAATACAAGTCAATGAGTGATCTTGAATTGCACACAGTTGGACAGAAAAGAATGCCAAGACTGAAAGAATGGAATGAATGTGCAAGGAGAGAGCAGATGTAAAGACAGACAAGGAGAGACTGCAAGTCATATACAAAAAGCAAGGAAGCTATTTTGAATTAAAAAATGGATTAGTCAAAAAAAAGAATAATGGATAATAGATAATTCAACAAAGATCACCAAGGAGAGGAAAACAGGCATCTGGAATTCAAATAAAAAGACATGATTTTAAAAGTAAGCAAAAAGCCAATAGAAATTAAAGTATATACTCAATTAATTTGTTTAGGGTATACTAATAGATGGTGCAGAAGCAAATGTAACTGAAATGTAGAATATAATTTAAACCATGCTAAATTTCAGCATGTAAAGTATACTGTGTCATTTGGAACAGCTCTGTAAGAATACATGCAGACTTGGCTATGCAAGGTGCTGAATTCCTTTAACTTCCTAAATAGCTACATAGATAGTGATCATCATCTAGTACCGTGGTCACCAACTAGTAGATCGCGATCTACCGGTAGATCTCAGGGGCTCTAAGAGTAGCTCTTGAGCCCTCTCTGAACTGCACACCTGCACAGTACATTTACATTAGATTTCCTCATGTAATGTAGGCGGGGCTTCAAGGAAGGGGCGGGACAGTAGATCTTCGCCTGTTCTGAGACTTAAAAAGTGATCTTGGGTGTAAAAAGGTTGGAGGCCACTGGGCTCTCTGTTTATCATGTCATCACACATGTTTTCATGTGAAGCTTACTAGTTACATAGCCAAATATTTTCCTGCCATGAGCTCTCTCTCTCTCTCCCTCTCTCTCTCTCTTTCTATAGGAATACTTAGAAGTGCAACACGTTATTGTAGCCACACTGTACTATTTCCAATGGAAGTGTTGCGAGGTGATATTTAAACTCACATCTTGACTTTACATGTAACAGTATGATCAGACAAATTACTTGTAGACGACTATGTTCAATTGGGCTGGCAGGAGAAATGGTGCAGGTGGGACACTGCTCTAAATGGAAGAGGAATCAAAGGTCAAAAAGTGGGGAAAGAAGCATTAACAAAGAGTGAATAAAACTTCTCCGTTCTTCAGGTCTAGTTTACTGTGGCTTCTTTTCCCCCAAACTATTAAAAAGGTTTCCAGGACGAATGAGACAGAGGAAGGAAAAGAGGTATTCCTTAGATAAGTGTAGTGGTCAGGTTAGATACTAGAATTACAATCACTTTCTGATCCATTGAGAGAAAGTGCTTTCTTTTATTTTCAAACGTGTACAGGGAATATACATACACAGTGAACCCAGCTACATGCACCTTACATAGGCTGAAGCCTTCAAAGGGGTTTTGCTTTTAAAAGGCACAAGGGAGAGTGAAGTCCCTGTAGCAAGATAACTTGATCAGAAAATTCTGTCTCAGATGATACATTAGGTACCAATGAACTCTGCCCCCAAATCAGGAAAGCACCTGTTTAACTTAACACTGACTTCAATTGGCCCTAAGGTTTAAGAGTTTTCCTGGGTTGGGAGCTAAGTTTTGCTGTCTGTTTAGTTCTGCCCCTCGCCACCATATAGTACATGTTTAGGAGTAAGTCTTCATATATAAAAAAAAAATGTCCCGCAGGATAACAGAATGATGTAATGACCTCATCAGCATCCACTGGGGGCCCTTCCCCCCAAACCCCATCCCTTGAGTCAAGCCCCACTAACTCCCAGCCCAGCCCTCCCTAGCAGCCACGTGACAAGCTGAGGCTGCCGCTCTGTGGCCTTAGCCTTCCCCAGCAACCAGGAGAAGGGCCAGGGCTGCTGTGGGCTCAGCCTGGCCAGGCCTGCTGCATCATGGCTGCAGCCTTCTCTGGCAGCCAGGGGCAGGGCTGGGTGTTGGCGTGCTGCAGCCTCAGCCCAGCTTTCCCCAGCTGGGAAAAATGTGATCAAATTTCCCCAGCCCGGCAGGGCTGCTATGCTGGGGAGGGATCGGGCAGGCATGGGGGGGGAAGGGGCTGGCAGGGTGCAGCGGGCTGGGTGTTCTGTGGGAGTGGTTGGGTATGGGGAGGAAAAGGACTGTGGCAGGCACAGGGAAGGGTTGGCAGGGTGCAGCATTTGAGGGGGAGGCACTGCAGGGACCAGACATGAGGAGAGGTTGTTGGGGCAGAGCGGGCAGGCAGGTGCTGCAGGCATCGGGCATGGGGAAGGCCCTCTGCCCCTCACCAGCCCCTCTCCATGCTTGGCTCCTGAAGCACCCCCCAACCGCTTTGTCCCCTCTCCCTCCCCGTGTACAGGCCTTGAAGCTCCCCCACACACACTTCCTGCACCCTGCCAGCCCTATGCCATGCCTTCCAGTCCCTGCTTGCCCACTGAGGAGTACTGAGTGCAGACCAGGGTGACCAAGTCCAGCCCACAGAGCATGATTGGCAGGTTTAAACAAAATATGTTTTCATTTTACTGTATTAAGTTGAAAGCAAATTAAATGTTCATGTCTCACCGCCTCCACTTCTGCAGGGTCATACCACACATTAATATATGGATGCTGTAAGGCTTCATCCACTGATATCCGTTTGGCTGGGTCAATCACCAACATCTTTGACAAAAGGTCCCTGGCTTGGCTGGCTAGAGCAATGAAACCAGAGGAACAGTGTCAATACAAATTCACTATATGTGGAAATTGGTTCTTCATTTGCATAGTTTTCTGCTACTCCTCCATATGGCACGATACCAAATTTGCATAGAAGATGAATAAAGAGCCAGGACAAGACATGCACACTATATAAGTCTCAAAATGAGCCCAAAATGAATTTTTTTGTGGGACAGGATTGGTTTTGATCCAATTTCAACTCAGAATTCCTGCGGAAAAAAAGCTTTGAAATAGTTAAAATGTTTTGTTTTTCCATTGACATCAAACATTGTGGTTTTCCAGTTAAAGAGGAACTTGTAATGTTATTTTAAAATATTTTAAAAATAAAGAGGGTTGAAATTGAAATAAAACTGACCCTTTTCAAGGGAAGTCCTAGAAAGTAAAAACTCCTTGTTCAGCAATAAGAATGCACTCATTGGTAAGACTGGTGACTAAACCTGTGTCCAAATCCTGATTCTCTCATTCATCCAAGTAGTGCTGAAACCAGTGTGCAATATCATCAGCTGGCGTAAATAAGCTGCATTTGCACTTGTGTTTGACTTCTATGGAGCTATCCCAATTTACACTGTCAAAGGATATGGTCCATTACACTTAGTCTTACTTGTCAAGAAAGTTGGAATAAGTCTACTATGATGTCATCACACAGTCGAACAAGGTAGGTGAACTTTCAGCAAAAAATTAACACTCTCTGAATTCTCTTCCTGTGATAACTAGCTGGTTTATAGCATAAGGCCTAAATGGACACATTTGTAGCAGTTGCTATGGGATTTACTATTCAGATTCCCTGTACAAAAATTAGTTGGTGATGATATTGGCAAATGGAATATGAAATTCTGTCAAGGAAGCAAAGTAACCCTCTATTCATTCTGACAGGAACTTGGATAATCATCCTGTGGAAGTTAATGTTGACATCTGATTGGGCAAGTATCCAACAACAACAACAACAAAAACCTTCTAGGACCATATTATAGTCTATAAGAGGTACAAGCCAAAACCTCTAATCGGGGATCAGAGCCTACAGTATTCTGGATTCATAGAAAATATGCTGTTAATCAACCTGCAACCTGTTTTATCTTGGTATTGTTTTTTCCCCACTATCAATAATTTGTACCATAAATTCATTGCAATCTTTAACAGGTTAACCAGATCACTAACTACTAATAGTATTCTCATTTAATATAAAAAATGCTTTCTTGCTTGACATGTTTGCTGTGGACCTTAAAAAACATAAAACAAAGAAAAAAAGATCAGTAACTACAAAAACCACATTCTCTTACTAAATGTATGTTATGTACCCCAGTACACACACACTACTAAACATTGACATCAAATTGACTAGATAACATTATTTATTATACTTTTTTGAAAGTCATGTGGATTTGGGACACAAAATTAGAATCTTTTTAAAAGAGAAGGAACCAAACAAGAAATAATCTTAAAAACCTTCATTCGGTGCTTAAATAAGTGTGCTTTCTTTATCCAGGAGTTAGTACGTTAACACAGTTTCTCTATGCATCACCTTTAAAGGCAATGAAAGACACCCCCTTCCTCTATTTAGTTTCATTGTAGGAGGAGTACAGAACAGAACTCAGTACTTCCAAAAGCATTTACTCAGACCTTTCCCTTTACTCTCAGATCTCAGACAACAGCTTTGATATGAAACACTTGTTAACTGGAAGAGTGTTCTTGGTAATGAAATGACATGCAAGTTGCAGGTGATAAAGAAACATTATGTGTCACTTCAGCAAGCTACCAGAGGAACCCATGTGCTCAAAATGAGGCACACTGGAAATCTGAAAAGGTTCCAGGGCTGTAACTGGAAAGCTTTTTTATATTCAATACACATTACTCGTGGTTTCTTATTGAAGGTCAACATCCAGTGCAAATTACTCATGGCTTCAATTTATGACAAAAGCATTATTTGCCATTGTATATATTGTGCAATGGAAATCTGTAGCCCTCCCCACACTGTAATTAACATATTCTGCTTCACATACCAAAACCAAGTTACTTCCTTTTTCATAGTCCTCAAATCACTTACAGGCAGATATTTAACTGCAACCACATCAAGAGCAATTTTTCTTAATGGAATTGATGGTTTTATTTTATTTAGTAAAGACACCCTCACTGTTGGAGCCAGGGCTCTGGCTGCATCGACAGGTCTTTGTTTACAACAAATGAAGATTTAATGCCACTTTGAGCTCTTCAGAGACAACACCGTAGGCTCCATTATGTCAGAATAAAATTATTAAGAACTCAGGATGTCCAAACGTGCTATCATAGTGCACAGCTGAACAGAATGAGAGTCATGCCTCTGACATGCTTGACATATTAATAATGACAATATATGTATACAGGGTCTGTCTGCCCTAGCACCTGATTTCCCTCAAAATCATATTTACAACTAGCTCTTCAGTTGATAAAATGCAAATATCTTGGTACTTACATCACTTGAATCCAATCTGATAATATAAATTCCAAGATGTTCTCAGGAAACAACTGGCTATAACATTTTTACTTTTTCTTTACCCCACCACTTGCAGATCTCAAACACTTTACTTTGTATTTTCTTCACATCAAAGAGCTCAGTGTCCAATACACACTTGGATGGAGCCTAACTATGCAGAAATTAAAAGTACTTCCCATACAAAATAGTGACCTACTGTATAAAGTACATTAAAAATCAATTCACTTACTGGAGAAAAAAATCATTTTTGAATTGCACTTGCTTATACATGCCCCATGCTCCCTCCTTGGACATACCTTTGAGTTTGTTGTGTTCTGAGTCGGCTGGAAAGAGAGAATCTGGGAAAAGTTTTGGGAAAGTGAGACCAGCATACTTAGGTCGGTTTTCAACGTAGTTTCGCACTGTGGGTTGTAGCTTCTTCATGAATTCTGGGCATGGTGTTCCCAGCTGCTCAATTACTTTATTCCACTGGTCAATATCTGAGGAGAGGTAAGTTAAGGGAAAAATTGTGCAGCCTACTTGTTTTTTGTTTGTTTGGTTGGTTTTTAGCAACCCATACACATGTTTAATTCCCTCCCAAGATACTTCTTGGTCAGTGTCTTGGTTCATTATCATGACTTGATGCCATAATGGGTGAGACATTTATGGCATAGAGTTTAAAGGTGGACAGCGCACATAAAGATTAGTAATAATAGATGGACACCTCACAAGATAAAACTTTCTCCATCTTGGCCATGGATGCTAGTCTATTTTAATTTTTAAATCCTAGCTTTATGGCTACCTTGTCTTACTCCTGTATAATCCCATAGATATCAGAAGGGGTGCATGAGTGTCACAAATTTTATTTGTTCAGCTGAGCATATCAATTAGAGCTGGCACACTGTGTAGAGCAGAATTTAGTGGGGTTAAATAGTGTGATCAGAGTTCTGCAAGGGGTGAAAGTTAGCCCTATCTTGTTTTTTTCATGAGTGATCAATAATTTGTGAAGGCCATTTTATTTGCGAATAGAGACGTGATGAAAAGACATTTTTGTCAGAAGTTCCTGAAGGTGCATACATGAATGGAAATGCTGCATACTTTTGTCTTTATTCTTCCCTCGTTAACATTATAAGAACAACAAAAGCTATTTGGTAACTTCTTGTAAACATGTAAGGTGTTTTCTTGGTTGTTCACCATTTCTTCTAACAAATGTTTTCTTTTGGTACATGATGCACCAGTTTCACAAAAATATTTCTCTTTTGTTTTCCTCAAACATATGACTAACAAGAAGCAGTTGGTATGCCTTCATCATGAATGCTAGCTTCCACATGCTTTCATTCTAAGCCATGAAACTCTCTCACTTATTGTAGGATTTCAGTGGGCAATTCTTTTAGCCTTTTTGAAGTACCAATAAGCATATCTGATGACATGTTCCAAATTAGCCCTACGTCAATTGATTGATCAAGCATATGCCTTTAAAGCCAGTACAAATCCCACACACCCTCATCACAGACGCTGCAGTCATTAAATCTGAAATGAAATATTTTGAAAATAATGGAAAAAATATTTCAGTTGATCCAATTTGGATTTGTTAATACAATTTTTATTGAGTCATGATGGAAAAAATATATTTTTTTGACATTTCATTTCAATTATTCATTTTGAAAAATGTTTCCTACACGGCTCGAAACAATGCAATATACTGGGCTCATGAGACAGAGAGGGTAGGCATTAGTGCCTAGTCATTAGAACAAGAGAATAGGAGTCAAAACATAAGTTCTTCATCCATTCTTGCAAAGCGTTACTTCAACCCACTTCAGTTTTTTGTTCTTCAATTTACTCCTCTGTAAAATGATTATTGGAGCATAGTGAGGCTTAATTTTTGTTTAAAAGAACTTAAAACAAAAAACTGAGATCCTCATATGAAAGGGACTTTTTACATATAAGCACTATGTATTATTTTATGTAATAAAGAATTTTAATATTTAATTTTTATATCCTTGAGAATGTAATTATTAGAAACTGTTTTTGTAGAGACATTAATAAAATAGAGGTTGAACCTCTAAATTGGCACCTCGGGACCTGACCGGTGCTTAACCAGAAAATGTGACCGACTACGAGAACTCAATATTGTCTAGCTGCATTAACAACACTTTCGCTGCCTGCTGGGATGTTAAAATACAGCACAGAACAGAGAGAGCCAGGACAGGTGGCTGTAAACAAACATTATGGGACCATGGGAAACTTGGCCACACCATGATAAGTGGACATCCAGCTAACTAAAGTCAAGCCAGACCGCAGATGTTCCCGGACCAGAGAGCGCCAGATTAGTTTAATCAGTAGTTAGTATGCAAATATTGCAGAACTTCATGGTTTCACAAGGAACCCCCTTAAAGAAGCTGCTGATGCTTCATGAATTATTTAGGAAATGGACATGAATAGGATTTTTGTTCCTTAAGATTTCCTTCTGATTGTGCTGAATAAATATATGATTTGTGTCATCAGATTTCAAAGGAGGCATAGACAGCAGGAACAGATGAATTCTGCTAAACAAAGAAGCTCCTTCTATATAAAAATTCCCTAGCAATAAAAGACTGGGAAAGAAAAGTACAGACAAAGAATGGGCTAAATTGCTGCTTTGCCTTACTCACACCAGTTTGTCATCTATGTATTAAACTTAATGGGACTACTCAAGTGAGTAAAATAAACAGAATTTGCCTAACCATAACCACTGAGAAGTTTAAGCTTATTTTTAGGTTGAAGACTGTTGTAATGAAGTCTTTGCTCTGACCCACGGGTGGACATTCACTTTAAAGTATTAAGGCACGGTCTTAGTCCACAGTATTAAGGTCAATGACAAAGTTGGCATCAAGAGAGGCAGTTGCAGAGCCTTATTGCTTTCCCCAATAGCTTGGAGGCATGTATTTTAGTTCTGTTCACATGCACTTATTTTGTCCATTATTACTTTCCAAAGTCAAATACATGCCATTCCGGTGTCTGGTTTCACAGGTCAGATTTATCCATGATGACATTTCTGGTGTGATTCCATTGATATAAATGGTTTTACACCAAGTAAAACATTTTCATCTGAGATACATTTCTACCCTGATGATCAGAGATTATTGACAAATACCCATATAGCAAATAGGACACACGTAAAGCACAGACGAGTGTTGTGGTAACACAGCATCTAGCTATTCAGAGCTTGGAAAATCCACATGCCTGCTTGGCACTGAGGAGGCAATAATCTTTCCCTGGCTAGTGGCAGAAACAACATCATCAAGGCTGCAAAAGATAAGCCTTAATTTAAAACACAAACCAGAGATGATGTGAATGGTGGATAGGTTGCATACTGACTGGTAAATAGAAGTAAGTAATTTAAGTGACATTTCTGTTATATATCCATAGAAATTAGGTGAATAGTGTGACATCAGGAATACGGCCTTAAGCAGGCTTAAGATGAAGCAGTTTCCCCCTAGGTTTAGTAAGGAAGAGTGATTTGCATTAGCTTTGGTGATTAGAGAGCAGATAATGATTCATCTTTTAGCATAAATGCAAGGGCCAGATGTGTACATGAAATTGTGTTTCAGTTGACATGAATTATGTCTCCTTGTTTTCTGGCAGTAGATCAAAGCTTTGGATAGACTCTTCTTTTGTTGTATGGTGTCTCGAGGCACAAACAATAAATTAGATCAGAGGTTCTCAAACTGTGGTCCATGGACTCCATTCAGGTGGTCCACAGACAGTTCCCTCTAATTTTCATGAGTGGGTGGCCACACACGAGAGAATGATGGGCTGCCCATCGTTCAGTTCAGGCATGGCTCCATTAATTAGGTGCTTTAGACCCTGGAGAATTTGTACATGTAAGGTGAAGGAAGATGGGTGAGCTGGGGAAAATAGGAAGTATATGGGGGGCAGCAGGGAAGAGGGGGTGGGGGAAAACTTGTAATGTGCAGGACTGCAGTTGCCAGAGAAAAAGGTAACTTTTCTCCACTCTAGGGCTACAGCTGCTGGAGAGAGACAGCCTTCTTTCTCAGCCTCAGCTCTCTGGCTGCTGTGGTGGGGGAGAGACCCCTACCAATATTAAAATAAGTTGTGTGCTTTTAGTTGTAGAACAAAATATGAATTAAGCTTTTTTTAATATATCGCTTTATCCAAAGTGCTTTACAATACTTATCTAATGATACAAGCAATATTTGGAAAGATCATGAAATGGTCTGCAAAGACCCTCAGCAACTTTCAAGTAGTCAATGAAAAAATTTTTTAGAACTACTAAATTATATGTTGGGTAAGAAATGTAGTCTTTCAAGAGGACAATTCATGATCAGATGGCATGCTGTTTGTCATTACACTATGCAGAAGCACGATGGGAAAACAAGTATTCCCCAAGAGTAAAGGTGTAAGTTGAACCATCCATGGCCACAATGTATCCTGCTATAATGATGTAAAATCTCTCAGTTCCTATGGTTGTTTTGAAGTATGTGTGAGAGCTGATTCACACAGGCTAGGCCAGAGGTGGGCAATAATTTTTGATTGGGTGCCACTCCAATAAGTTGGTACGGGCCACATTCGTCCATGATATTAATGGAGGAGGTGCAAGGTCTGGGATGGAGGTTGGGGGAAAAAGGGAGTTTGGGGTAGTAGAATGGAGTGCAGGAGGTTGTATGAGGTATGCCAGGGAGCTTGGGTGAAGGGGGGATTGTGAATGGAGAGTACGAGGGGGTGCTGGGGTTTAAGCTGTAACCTAGGGAAGAATGGTGTTTTGACATGGGGTAGGAGATTGGGGTGCAAGGTCTGGGAGAGGGTATCAGTGCAGAAGTAGGGTTTGCAAAGGGTTTGGGTTACATGGGGTAGAAGTGAGGGAGACGGCTGGGGGAAGAGACGTGTGGGGTGCCTGAAGCAGGCTCTGTATGGGAGTTAGGCAACTCCCAGCCAGCAGCCCTGCAGACGCCTCAACTAGGCTCCCTGCTTTGCATGTCACCACAGGCCCTAAAAGCAGCTGGATGCAAGGGCCTCTGACTGTCATACCTCGTTGCCAGGGAAACAGCCAGCCAGAAGCAGATGATTGGAAACTAGCATTGTCCAGCTTTCACCGGTAATGATACAAAGGCAGAGTTGATCATTAAGTCCAATATCCGTAATGAGATAGTGGTGGAAAAAGTACCCAAAGAAGTTACTTAAGTAAAAGTATTGCTACTTTGAAATAAATGTAACACACACAATCACACTGTGTGTGTGTACATGTGTGTGTGAACACGCGTATGTACATATATGTATGTGTGTGTATATATTATCCCCCCATCCTTTAGTCATTTATTTTCCAAGCTGAAAAGTCCCTGTCTTGTTAATCTTTCCTCATATGGAAGCTGTTCCTTACCCCTAATCATTTCTGTTGTCCTTTCTGTACCTTTTCCAAATCCAATACATCTTTTTGTAGATGGGGTGACCAGATCTGCCTACAGTATTCAAGACGTGGACGTAACATGAGTTTAACTGGTTG